TGCTTCATCAATCCAGATTTTTCATCTCTAAAACCACAGAGGAGAATGAAACACAGTAGACTGCTAGTTAAAATGAAATTTTTATAAGACTTTCTGGCTATATCCCCAAATGCACAGACAACAAAAGCAAAAATAGACAAATGAGATTACATAATACTAAAAAGCTATGCAACCGCAAAGAAAACAGTCAACAAAGTGAAAACAATCTGTAGAATGGTAGAAAATATTTGCAAAGCATACTTCTGATAAGGGGTTAATATCCACAACATAAAAAGAACTCAACTCAACAGTAAGGAAACAAATAATCCAATTTAAAAAATAAGTAAAGGACCTGAAGAGACATTTCTCAAAAAGATATACAAATATCTAGCAGCAATATAAAAAGTGCTCAATGTCACTAATCATCGGGGAAACACAAATTAAAACCACAATGAGCTATCACCTCATACTTATTAGAATGGCTATTATCAAAAAGACAAAAGATAAGTTTTAAAGAGCATGTGGAGAAAAGGGAATCCTTGTACATTCTTGGTGGGACTGTAAATTAGTTTAGCCATTATGGAAAAAAGTGTGGCAGTTCCTCAAAATAATTAAAAATAGAACTATCATATGATCCAGCAACCCCAGTACTGAGTATATATCCAAAATATATGAAATTGGTATGTTGAGCTATCTGCACTCCCATGTTCATTACAGCATTATTCACAATAGTCAAGATATGAAATCAACCTAAATGTCCATTAGCAGATTAAAGGATAAAGAAAATATCGTATATATACATAATGGAATACTATTTGACCTTAAAAAGAAAGAAATCTTGTCAATTGTGACAACATGGATGAACCTGGAGGACACAATGTTAAGCAAAATAAGCCAGGGACAGAAAGACAAATACCATATGATCTCACTTACATTTGGAATGTAAAAAAGTCAAACTCACGGAATCAGAAAGTAAAATGGTGGTTATCTGAGGCTAGGGGTAGGGGTTTTGGGAGATGTTGGTCAAAGGACACAAAATTTCAGTTAGGAGGAATAAATCCATAAATCCAAGAAATATATTGTATATAACGTAGAGGTAAAAATAATACATTGTATATTTAAAATTTACTAAGAGAATAGATTTTAAGTGTTCTTACCATATACAAAAAAATGATAATGTGAGGTAATACTTATTTAAATAGTATCATTTAGCCATTCTACAATGTATATATATATCAAAATACCATGTTGTACCACATAAATATATAATTTTTACTTGTCAATTAAAAAATAAATGAAATACAAATTAGAGAAAGTAGAAATTAAAAAACTAAGTTTTTATACAACCCAGAATGTAAAACAATTTTTTAAAATGGTATATTTATTATCAGGATGTGCTTATTTTTAAAGTTTAGATTCCTAATATTTCCATACCATAAATTCAGTCAAAAAGACTTTCGAGTCTTTTGATGAGTATAATATTTAAAGATGTAGTTTGAATAAACATCATTATGTCAGCCCTCAAATCCAGTTGTACTGTACAACTAACAGAAAATACTGCACAGAAGTCTTAAGATAGTTACTTCTAAAGTAATCATTTTTTAAACACTCCACCCTTTTATCTCAGTATACTCTCAATTATATAGAGAAAAACTACATAAAATGCTGTAAATTATCAACATAGTTAATGCATTTATAATTTCCAATGTTAAAAAAACTTGGTATTTTTTAATGTGCAGTTTCCCATTATTTGTATCTTTGTGTGAAATTTTAATAAAAATCTTATGGAATGGCATAAATACTACTATAGGTATACAAGGGGTATAGATTTTCTTAGAACAAAATATGCAAACTCCACAAAAATAAAAATAAAAGCAAATTTTATTGGGTACTTACTTACATATTTAAATGTAAGTTTGTAAAGTTGGGAAAAACATTTAATTTTTTTTCTGGTTTAATTATAAGAATACTATCAGAATCCTTGATAACAAATTATTCCTTAATATCAAGGATTTTATTATATAAGACTTTAAACCAATATATAAAAACAACACCGATCTATTTCTTTCTACTAGACTAGGGTTTCTTAGCCTTGGCACTACTGAGATTTGGGGCTAGATAATTCTTTGTCGTTGGGGGGTGCTGTCCTGTGTGTTATAGGCTGCTTAGCAGCACACCTAGCCTCTACCCCCCTGCCAAGTTGTGACAACCAAAAATGTCTCCAGACATTGCCAAATTTGCAATGAAGGGCAAAACTGCCACCTTTGAAAACCACTGTACTAGATCATTCTTATCACCACATATGCATATTCCAGTATCTTCTATCTTAAAAAAATAAAATATGCCCTTAATGCTACACTGTCTTCCAGCTAAAACCTCAATTCTTTGACCGCATTCAGAGCTAAAATTCTAGAAAGAGCTGTACATATGCCCTGGTTCCATACCTCCAATGAACTACTCAAGATACTGCAATTTAGTTTCTATCCTACCACTCTATGGCAACTGTTCACTGAGGCACTAGTGATCTCCATCTTGCCCACCCCAGTGAAGATTTCTCTTTCCTCATTTCAGTGTTTTTTTTCTGTAGCATTTGGACTAGCTGGCTATCCTTTCCTCTTTCCTCTGGCTTCTGCACATGTACTCTACTATTTTCCGTACTATAATCTATGTGCTGCCACACTGCACTCTTTCTTCTCTATCCTTAATATTAGAGAATGTCAGGGCTTGGTCTAGGCCTTTTGCCTATCTACATTCTCTCTATATTTGGTTTCACATAAGCCCCTGGCTTCAAATACCTATCTATGAGCTGATTACTCCCAATATATATCTTCAGCCTAGACTTGTTCCCTTGGACTCCAGGCATATTTATACAATTTCCTAATTGATAATGACAGTTACATAACTCATAAGCATCTCAAAATTAACATGTTGAAAAACGAGTTCTTAATAGATGTAACCCCTGCTCCATATAACTTTATCCTCTGTATTTTTCCCCAAGTCTGTAAATGGTACCACCATCTACTCACTTGCTCATTTCAGGAAAAAGAAAAATCAACCACCTGGAAGTTATTCTTTTATTACTCCTTTCTTTTCATCTGCTGTTTCTTTAAGTATCATGGAGCCCTGTGTTTTCCAACTCCATAATGTATCTTAAATGTATCTACCTCTCTCCACCTCCAGTACTGCCGCTCTGGACCAAACCACCACAGTATCTTACTAGTGACACTGCAGTTGCCAGGTCTTCCTCTTTCCATCCTTCCCCACACCCAAACCATTCCCCACCCAGCAGCCAAAGCAGTCTCTTATATCACTCTTCTGCCTCAAACAACGGAACAGCTTCAGGTTACTTGTGGAATAAAATTCAAACCCCTTTCCACTGCTTATGAGGGTGCCTGCCTCCCTAACTTCACCCCCCTCCCACCCTATGACCATGTGCCACAATGGCAGGTCTCTTCTTTGTTACTAGAATGTGACAAAACTAATCTCCTACTGGGCCCTGGCATTCATTTGATCCAATGAATGAAGAGTCCCAGGAACACTCTTCCTCTGCTCTTCTCATCACTTGTCCCTCAGGGCTCACCTTGCAAGTCACCTTACCTAACCTTTTTGGACAGAGCGCCCCGGGCCAGCCACTCTAAGGAAGCCTGCCGCATATACTGTACCTCATAAGGTGGTTATTACCTTCATGACACGTACTAAAATCCATAAGCATCCCTTGCACTTGCTGATGTGCTCACATGTTCACATATCTGTCTGGTGCACAGAAAAAGGCTTGGTGCTTGACACGTGCTACAATGAGCCTCACTTAGATTTCACTGTTCATAAGCCCAACACTGAGTACTGAGCTACTATCAAATGCCTATAATTGAATCAGGCTTTTGAACAGTAAAAATAAGTTCAAAGTAAATAATACTGTATTACCATATTAAATAAATGTATTAAATGTGTCTGATTCACCTGAACACTTTTCTGAAAAATTTTAAATTTTATTTCAGAACAGGGTAATGTGTGGCCATGGGAAAGTAAAGAGAAATGTATATTAAATATCAGTACAACCTGGCCCAGGTTGTTATATAATGCCAAGCATATTAATCAAAAGTAAAATTATAAATCATATATTATGGTAGATGCTTATATATATTATGCATATAATATGTATGTATGTTAATTTTATCATTCTCTTTAAAAGACAGCTAGATTTCTAGGTAGATCTATAAATTTTATTTCTTAATAATCTTTTATACATTTATGTGCATTTACAACCATTAACTGTGTTTCAATTTCTAACCATCCTGGATTTATTTTAGATGGTCCCCTCCTAAGAGAACTTCTGAATGGTCCTCAAATGTTAATGTATCATTGAGCTTACTTGAAACTACTTAAATAGAAATAAAAGATACAACAGATATCAAAACTAAACTCACTGTCTTTCACTCCCCAAAAACTGTAACTTCTCTACTACTGATCAGGTTCTGCTTTTTATTCATTTATGTATTTATTTAAGAAGATTTCAAGAGCACCTACTATGAGTACCTCACTCTATTATCATTCTTTTTCACCTGTAAATCCCTTTCATTCCACCTCTCTCCCTATCAGTCTCTTCTACATGAATGACAATTCTAAATACCCTTTCAGGAAGGCCTTCCCTTTCCCCAGAGACAGGAATGTTTCATTTGTTATGATTCTCATGTGTTCCGCAGGTGCTTTTGTTCTAGAAAATAACTCAACTGATTTATCACAAGTAATCCATCCTTCAAACATTTATCGAGGCATTTATTTAGGTCCTAAAAACTAAGGTGAAGTTCATGCCCTTCATTTTTAAAGTCAGGGAAAGGCTGACATGCAAAGAAATAATTGTGATATAAAGTGGTAGCGTAAAATTTAATACAAACATAGGTTTATTATCTTTTTTCTTCCCCATGAGAGGAAAGAAGACATGGCATTGCATGTAACAACAGTGCTCTGCACAAGGTTGTTAGTCAACTGTATACAGGAGAAGAAAGAAACCAAATGTAACTTACCGAGCGTCCGGAAAGGTCTCTGACTTGGTAAGTGGGAGAAGAAACCAGGCTTCAGTGCATTTGTAATCACAACGTCAAAAAGGTCTGTAAAATCATTCCTAAAAGCAACACAATTTTTCATAAATTTATTTTAAGAATTAGAATAGTTCTATATAAAACAGAACTTGATCTTTGCTTATCTATTTTACAACAGCATCATTTATCTTTTGATTAACTTTTATATGCTTTATATTTTTCTCACACTTTAAGGTGAACATTCCACTGGAAATAGAAGGTGGTTGAGTACTAGTCTTCCTGACAACTCTTTGAAGTATAAACATAATCAGGAAAAAAAGAAAGCAGCACATAGACTCTAGGTACCAAGCTGGCTTTGGCAGTAAAGTCAATAGTTTCTAACAACTGGAAATATTTGGAAAATCTATCTTCAAATTTGCGGGCCTGCAACTGGCTGGCTTTGTTAGCCTGAAGAGTTAACAATTTTGCGTGTTACATGGGTCCCACAGAAAGCAGCATTATAGCAAGTCATGGTCATCTTTCAGAGAGTGCTTCAAATATGAAGAAGATACTTTATCTGACAATCAGTGTAGTCTTATAATGTGGTAACTTTTATATGATAATAATTAATGATTTTAAATCTGTACTTATCATTATATTAAGGATTATTTCTGATGGCAAAGGAAAGGTAGCCCTTCTCCTGAAGGACTCACTATTACAATGGGGGAAACAATATTTATGCAACATTCCAGAATACTTTTATGAATCAAACAGCAATAAATAGAAATTGAGATGAAGAAAGACTATAGCTATCTATGCTAATAAAAAAGGAATTAAAATCTCAATTGTTCATTTTAAAGTTCATTTTTGTTCATCTAAATTTAGTTAGTGGGCCCACTACTAGGATAGCAGATGTCTCTATGAGGGGTACCTTCCAAGACATCCAGGACTTTAGCCTTAATTCACCCAAAGGATGAATTATTATATATCAGCCTATATATTATTCAAAAAGCAGAAATTCTACTCACGGATTGTAAGCATATCATAGAACAAACTAAAGCCACACATGCTAAGAACATGGAAATCATGATGCTAAAAAAGCTGGTGAAGGCAGGTTTTAAGGCTCAAACTTGCTCCATACTCACGGCAATTCGGTATTTGATGGAATTTGAGGAAACATTAGGGGAGACCTAATAGCTCACTGTGGAATCTTGCTTTGACCATAGATATTTCCTGGTATTGCCCACAAGAATAAGTATTTACACACTGAAGTCTATCAACTATTCCTATCTAATTCTCTACCTGTATTATGCTATTTGAATATCCCCTCATACCCACAAGGCATTACTGTACCATTTTTATGATGACAAAATTGAAGCTTAAAGAGGTTATAAAACCTACTACAGTAAACTGCAGAGTGGGGCTTGAAGTCAAGGCTGTCTTACTTTAAAGTCTATGCAATTATACTGCCTTCATTTTCATGAATTCAATCCCATCCTGGCTGTGTTAAACAGTAAAGTACATGGCTCCACACTGAAATGACTAAAAAGTGGCTGTACTCCAGGTATCTGTGGAGGAGTATAACCTACAACTCAGTGTCCCTCAGTCATCATCCAAAGATGAGAAACCAAATTCATGGAAAACTAAAGGATATACAGTTTACCACCTTCTAGAAAACCTAAAACCCGGACATTCGGTGAGCGATGAGCACACTGGTCCCAAGTAACATTGCTTTGCTAAAATGTACTTGGTTGGGCTGCTGTCAGCAGATATTGAGGTATGTCATCAGAAAAAAAAAATCAACTTGTCACTCAGCATTGCTTAAAATAATGATATGGTCATGGCTGACACTTTTAAAAAAGCCCTGGTCTAATTTGCTATCTGTATTTCATAAGACAATGAAAACCGAATGACTCATCACTTACCCAAGGATATATTCACAGAGAAGTCTACAGTAATCACTGTGAGAACTGGTAATTAACAGAAGAATTTTCCCAGCATTCTTTAGCTGTCGAAGCCACTTTTTCACAGATTCAGGACAACTGTGTAAATATCTGCCTGGATCTCTTTTTATTTCTGGAAAATATATTCCACAGTTTTCTGAAAAATAAAAATATCATTGAGGTTTCTCTTTTTAAACATTTTTTAACTAAATGTATTCTCTAACAAGTTAATCTCTTTCAAATCTATAGATAAAACTAAAAGGATAAGAACAAAGTTTGACCAACCTAGCAATTATGCCAATACTACTTGCTTTTTAAGAATAGTTCTTTACTTGAAAACATATTATTGTTTGAAAATGTTAGTTGATAATATTCGCTGGCTATTTGACAAGAACTGATAAACTGTTAAAACAGGTAACACAAGAAACAATATGATCAACATTTTCAAATGCTGTAAGAGAAAACCTTACATGTGAAATATCAATTGGTTACAAATATTCTTTTAATTATTCAATGAATATTTGCTGAATACAGATAAGAAACAAATCAACATTCAGATACTGCACCAGGATCACGTTTTTGACATAAATAGCCAAGAAGGGTGATGAGTTCCTCAGAGTCACAGTTTGCTATTTCAGATGGAACCTATACTAGGGGAGCCATTCTATAGCCTCTGAGAAGTGCTGAGATATCAAATGGAAAAATTGGTGTAAAATAGGCCAGAACAGGCCAAAAGGCACTGTAGTTGACAGGGAACATTGAATGACTTGCATCACTGAAGTGGGATTGCTTACTCTGCCCCTTTAGAGTGTCCATGGGGTCTGGCTGAGCTCCAGGGCAGATGGTGGCAGTGTTTCCAGATGTCTTGGCCAGACTTAGCCATAGTGCTTGACCCAGTGCTTTTAAAGTTGTGGGTACTCAGCAGGCAATTGCAGATTTCGTTGAAATGCTACTAGACTCATAACACCTTTTAGAAATACTGCTCTCAGAGCATGATAGAACTAATAAGCAGATAAAAATAACCCAAGATTTTACTTTCTCTAATTGTTACGAAAAGGACACATGCATAGACAATAAAAAAAAAAAAAAAGCTTAAACAGCTTGTACTGAATGATAGAGTCTGCAGTAGCTAGATATGGGATACATCTGTGACTCTGTCCAGTGTGATACACTTGAAATACTTGAAAGTTATATTTCAAGAACATCAGCACATCAGGAAGAAGAGTCTTTTTTTTTTTTTTTTTTTTTTTTTTTTTTTGAGACGGAGTCTCACTCTGTCACCAAGCTGTAGTGCAGCGGTGTGATCTCTGGCCAACTGCAACCGCCACCTCCCGGGTTCAAGCGATTCTCCTGTCTCAGCCTCCTGAGTAGTTAGGACTACAGGCGCCACCATGCCCAGCTAACTTCTGTATTTTTAGTAGAGACGGGGTTTCACCATGTTTACCAGGATGGTCTTGATCTCTTGACCTCACAATCTGCCTGCCTTGCGCTCCCAAAGTGCGGGAATTACAGGCGTAAGCCAGTGCCCGGCCAGGAAGAAGAGTCTTTAGTGCAACAAAACGAACAAATAAAAACAAAAATGGTAGCAAATATTGTGGTCTGCCTCCCCACATCCATCTCCCTCTTTGCTGGGGAGTGCTCTGATATTGTTTCAGGTTTCATCTTCCTCTGAGGGGGTCTGTGATGCTAGCAAGGGCAAGGGTCTCTATCAGTCTACATCTATCACAGTTACTCCCTTCTCCTGTCATTGAATTGTTTAGGAAGTGCTGGGGACCCAGGCATGGCAAATGAGACCTGAAGAGAACTCTGCTGCAGGATCCTGAAGTAATATATACCACCGATAAAAAGAAACCTATAAAGGGGGAAATATCCCCACTTCTACTACTGGACTTTACCATTATTATAAATTCTATGTAGAACTGCAGTGGTTATCATCAGCACAAAGCACAAGTCTGATATATCAGAGATAGCGGAGTGGACATATGAAAGGAAACAAACCTGGGTCCCTGATGATATCACTGGGTTTCTGCTTTTGTTTCTGTTTTTGAGACAGGGTCTCGCTCTGTTGCCCAGACTGGAGTGCACTGTGGCACAATCATGACTTACTGCAGCCTTGAACTCCTAGGCTCAAGTGATCCTCCCACCTCAGGCCTCTAAAAGTGCTATGATCACAGGCGTGAGCCACTGTGCCTGGCCACCACTGGATTTCTGATTAAGTCACTGACGAACTCTAACCACCACTGGAAGTACTGTTCAACTTCTGGACAACTTCTAGTTGTACAAAATAACTCATTTTAATAATAGCTTAAACATTAAGGATATTTATTATTTGCAACCTAAAGCATCGTGATTCAGAAATGTATTTCATGAATATCATAAACCAGACCAAAAATAACAAAAGAAAGAATATGTTGCAATATGAGAATATTTAGAAGACCAAAAACAAAAACAAAGTTTTTGCTCTTTTTATATTTTGCCCTACAGGAACTTTTGTGTGTGAATCTCTAGGATCTCTTTTTAACATACCAGAGGCTATATAATACTCCTTTAAAAAATTAAAATATATTCTCTGTTTTCCAAGGAAGAGGAAGTACTAGTAAGAAAAGGCCAGTTTAAGAAACAGATGATAATAATAAATGCAAATGGCCAAGAACAGAAAAGTTTGATGAGTGGATGACTGCTAATTTCAGAGGCTGTGTCTCTCTCAGAACTTACTATAAGGGGGTCAGATGTGAGATTATCTCACTTAGTAAAACAAAGCTTTTGTAGCAAGAAGAATTTTATGGGTTACATAACAAAAAAATTTATAGTGTGTAATGCTGAAAACAGGCTTGTTTTCAGAAAACTTGAGAAAAAGTTATTTTTTCTTAGCTATATGTGCTTAGTGCCATCTAGTGATCAAAATATAAATTACTATTAAAAAGCTGCTGTTAACATTTCCAAAGGAATAAAAATATAAGACCTATGCATTTAAATACAATATTTTAAATTTCTTACCTAGGTTAATTTCATTAGTATCTCTTAATTAGTAATGTCTGATTGAAAAGAGTACAAATATAATAATTTAATCAGATAAAATTATTCTCTGAAGTCATAATGGAGATGTCCTTGTTTTGTTCATAAGCCAGACTGAAATGGACAAACTAAAAAAGACAAGCCCTGTACAAACACATACCCAGTGGTAGATAATGAGTTGCTCTTCCTACAAAAGATCACTGGCTGCCATGGAGAAAATATTTTTGCCCCCTTGTAACCTCCAATTATTAAAGGAATAGGAGACATAATTATACAAATAGAAACATCTTTTTATTGAAATAAGTCAAGGTATTAAATCAAATGAAGAGTTATGTTAAACATACTATAATGGATTATAACTGTCTATTAAATTATATCCCCAAATAAACTATAAACTTCTAAAGGCAAGAAATATATCTTTCTGCTTGGCATGGAGCAAGTATTCAACATATGAATACCTAAATTAGTACAGAAGCAGACACAGGAACATTTATGTTTCCTTACATTCAAGGCAAGAGTTTGATTAGTACCATAGAGCCAAACTGAAGTGACAAAAATAATATTACTCATGTACGATTAAGGCAGCCTATGAAAAAAGTCATGTTTAATTATGATACTAATTAACACTGATTGAACAAAATGGAATTTAGATCTAAGATGGAAAGGAGTGGTATTGTTTGTTCTTAACTCACAAAGAAGCCTGTGTTTTCACTTAACCTCTAAAGGAATTCTATTTCACTGCCACTTTATGTAACTTATTTTCCTGGTTTTTCCACCACTCTTAGATCCTTCGATGCTGGTATTTTCTAGGTCCAGAGGAGATTTAAAGGAAATTCTTTTAAAAAGCTGATTCTAAAGAATAAAAGTTCAGTCTCCTATGTTAGAAAATTGGTTAATGTAGAGTGACAGAAATAATACCAAAGTGTTTCAACAGTCTGATATGCACGTCAAATGGCCTGAATACACCAAAGAGGATTTAGGGACCTCTCGTGGTAAAAAAATATAGTACAACCTGAATATTAAAAATCCTTTTTTTCAGTTTAACAGACAATTGTGCCACATCACTATTTCTATCATCACTGAATAAGCTTTTTCTTGCTAACTGTATCACTACTGTTTGCATGATTTTTGGCCAGAATTTTCAAAGCTGCTGTCTGAGGGGACTAGAGATGCCAGGATGCTAACACTTCCATGGTCAGCCTCCAAATAAGGTCTGTTGTTGTTTCCATTGCATAGTACAATTTAGAAGAGATTTAAATATTTATAATCTTTACAAGTTATATAAGAGCATGCTAGTGAACAGCTAAAATGTTTAGCGATGAACTGTTTAAATGTACTTGCTGTAGAGATGATATAATTAATTTTCTGTAAAAAAGAAACTTTTTTCTTTGCTAAAAGACGCTGAAATATTTGTTGGAGGATAAAAGAGATAAATTTATTGTGTTTATTTATAGGTGGCAAAAAAAGTGAAAATTTATTAAAACATTTGCTGTTTATATAACAAAATATATGGTTTATATCTAATTTTATAATTAAAGAAAGAAATCTAGAATAGATTGTTTAAAGTGAAAATCTATATGCTAAATATAGTGCTTGCAAAGTCTCTCAAATAAAAACTGGGAAATGAAGTACAATATATATGAGAAAAACATAATATATAAAATTTACATTTTAATAGCATCTGATTTCCAGCTCTGTAATTTAATTTGCATATCCCGGCCCTACTCCAAAAATTCTGATTTAATTGGTTTGGGGTAGGGCCACACATTGGTATTTTTTTTTTTTTTTTTTTTTAAAGCTTCCCAGGTAGTCCTAATGTGCTACCAGGATTAAGAATTGTTGCCCTAAAATATAAAAACTAGAATTCTTTCTATTATTTTCTGTGTATTTTGCCTGCTTCACTGGAAATCACAGGCTCTCAGAGGGCAGGGACTTCTGAGTTTTGTAGTGTCTTTATTACCTAACACATAGCCTTGTACATATTAGGTAATCAACAAATCACAACTGTTGCCAATTATCTTAAATGTTATTGTGGTTGATGATCTTTAAAATGTTTACTCTTATCCTATACCAATTAAGCATGGTATTCTAGATTTAATTAAGTATTGTGAATACAGAATAAAGGATTTCATTCCTCCTATG